TTAGACGTCTACGAGACCCTTGTATTTGGGCCGGGGTAAGAGACTTTTTTTAGACGTCAAAGGGGACGTTACAGGAGACGTTTTAGGAGACGTGTAGGAGAAAGTTGTTGGAGGCGTTTTAGGAGACTTTTGCAGGATCGTCTAGGGACGTCTAGGAGGGCCCGTTGAAAGGGACGGGCAGGAAGGGGGGGAACGGTTTGGGAGTAGAAAAATTTTAGGAGGGCGTTGCAGGAGGAAAGTCCCCCAAAGGGGACGTTTTTAAAGGAGGCGTGTATGGGGACGTTGCAGGACCCTTAGGAAAACGTTGAGGGGGGAACGTCTAGGAGGGCTTTACTTTAGACGTTATAGACGTTTTTTTTTTTTCAGGGGACGTTAGGGACGTTTGCAGGGGACCCTCTAGGGGACTTTGCAGGAGACGTCTATTGATCCCTTTCAGAAACGCTAAGAGGGCGTTGCGGAGCGTCTAAGGACGTTTTTCAGGAGGGCCCAGGGGACCCTTTAGGAGATGTTAGGAGACGGTTTTCAGGAGCGTCCCAGGGAAATTGTTCGAGAGTCTTGGAGACGGGTTTTTCAAAAGGACGTCTATAGACCGGGGTTGGGAGGAGGGGTCTAGGAACTTTTTCAAAACGTCTAGGAGAGTTGCAGGAACGTCTAGGGACGTTGCGGAGCGTCTAGGAGCGTTGCAAAGGGGACGTCAGGAAACGTTTTTCAGGGACGTCTAAAGGGGACGTTGCAGGGGGAAAGTCTTGGAACGTTGCGGAAAACGTCTAGGGGACGCTTTAAAAAAAACGTGTAGGAGAAGTTTTTCAGGAGACGTCTAGGAAACGTTGGGAGGAGGGCGTCCAAAGAGAATTGCAGGGACGTCTATGAGACGTTTGCGGAGACGTCTAGGAGACGTTGCAGGAAAACGTTAGGAAACTTTCGGAGAAGTTAGGGGGCGTTGCGGAGACCTATGAGAGTTGCAGGAGACGTCTTTGTTTCGTTTTCAGGAAAACGTCTGGAAGGGCCCTTGCAGGAAGGTCTAGGGCGTTGCAGGAGAAAGGGCTAGGAACGTTTCAGGGACGTTAAGGGGGAAAGTTTCGGAGGGTTAGGAGACGGTTTAGGGAGGTCTAGGGCATTGCAGGAGACGTTAGGGGAAAAGTTGCAGGAGAGGCTAGGGGACGTTTTTAGGAGAGTCTAGGAACGTTGCGGGGAGTCTAGGGGACGTTGCAGGAGAAATTTCTTAGGGGGGGCGTTGCGGAGGTGTTTAGGGGCGTTTCAGGAGAGTTACGAAACGTTGAAAGGGCCCTCCCAGGGCGTTGCGGAGCCCTCTAGGGGGGACGTTTTTTGGGGGGGCGTTGGGGAAGGTTTCAAAGGGGAGTCTTGGAGGGCGTTGGGAGGAGTGCCCTTTTTGAAGAAATTTTTTCCGGGTTTTTGGGGGGGAGGATTTCCCTTCTTTACCGGGGGGACCCTTCCTAACTTTCCGGGAAAGGGGGGGGGTAAGGGGGTGTGGGGAAAACAGAGCCCCCCCCCCCCCCAAAAAAAAAACCCCCAACCCCCCCCCCCCTTTTTTTTTTTTTGGGGGGGGGGGGAAAAAACCCCCCCAACCCCCCCCCACCAAAACCTTCCCCCCCCCCCCCCCCCTTCCCCACCTCTTTTTTCCCCATCTCTTTCTCGTTTTCTTTCCCCTTTTTCTTTCCCTTTTTCTACATCTTTCTTCTTTCTTCTTCCCCTTTTTCTTCTTCTCCCCTCCCCTCACTCTCCCCCCACTCCCTCCCTCTCCAAAAAACCTCAAACCCCCTCTCCCTCTTCCCCCCCCTCCTCCTCCTTCACACCCCCCCTCCCTTCCCTCTTCCAACTCCCAAAAAAACATCCCCCTTCACACACAACATCCTCTTCTAAAACCAAAAAAACATCTTCCCTTTTATCAAAAAACCAGAACAAATGGTAACAATAAGCAACACTTTTCCCCCGGGGCCCCCATGCAACCCAACAAAAACTTCCCCATGGCCCCCATGCAACACCCGCAAAAACTCCTTTTTGGCCCCCATTCAACACCAAACAACAACCCCTGGCCATATTCAACACACCAAAAACTCCCAGGCCCTCATTCACAAAAAAGCAACACCAACCCGGCCCTCTGCAACACCAGCAACACTCCCTTTGGGCCCCCAATGCCCAAAACCACAACACTCCCCTGGCCCTCTTTCAAAAACCGCAACATTTACCTGGCCCTTTATTTTTAACACCAAACAACACTCCCTGGCCCCATCAACACCAACAAAAAACTCCCTTCCCCCATTCAACACCCCGCAAACACTCCCTGGCCCTCATTAACACCAAACAAAAAACTCCCCTGGGGGCCCCCAAACAACACAACAACAAAAACCCCCCGGCCCTCATTCAACCCCAAACAACACTCCCCTTCCCTCTTTCCAAAAACCGCAACCCCCACCCCTCTTCCCTCCCTGCAAACCCCCCCCCACAAACCACTCCCCTGGCCCTCATTCAAACACCGCCACCCCTCCCCATCCCCTCACAAAAACCGCAACCCCTCCCCGACCCCCATTCCAAAAAACCAAACAACAATCCCCTATTTCCCCCCATTCAACACCAGCAAAAAATCACCTGGCCCTCATTCAACACCAAACAACCTTCCCCTTTTGGGCCCCCTTCAAAAAAAGCAACAACCCCCCCTGGCCCCCATTCAAACCAAACAACACTCCCCCTATCCCTCATTAAACACCAGGGAACACTCCCCCGGCCCCCATTTCCCAAAACCGCAAAAACTCCCCCTCCCTCATTCAAAAACCAGCCCAAAACTCCCTGGGCCCCCATTTTAACCCCAGCAACACTCCCCATCCCTATTCAACACCACAACACCCCCTACCCTCATTCCCAAAACCAGCAAAAACTCCCCTTGGGCCCCATTCAAAACCAGCAAAAACTCCCCCTGGCCCTCCCTTCAAAACCAACAACACTCACCTGGCCTCATTCAAACAAAAGCAAAACTCCCCGGCCCTCACAAAACCAAACAAACACTCCCCCATCCCCCATTCAAAAAACCAGCAACACTCCCCGGCCCCAATTTTTTCACCAGCAACAATTCCCCCTGGCCCCCATTCAAAAACCAGCAACACTCCCCCCGGCCCCCAAATTTAAAACCCCCCCAAAACCCCCCGCCCCCCAAATTAAAAACCAGGAAAAACTCCCCTTCCCTCATTTAACACCACCAACACTCCCATCCCCATTCAACACCACAACATTAAACCCGGTCTTTTAAAACAAAGCCCAAAAAACTCCCCCGGCCCTCAAACAAAAACAAAACAACAATCCCCCCCCCCTCATTCAACCCAGCAACACCCCCTTCCCTCATTCAACACCAGCAACACTTTCCCCCGTCCCTTTATTTAACACCACAAAAACTCCCCCCGTTTCCCCCAATTTAACCCCAAACAACACTCCCCTGGCCTCTTTTAACACCGAAAAAACAATCCCCCGTCCCTCCCTTTAAACACCCCGCAAACTCCCCCTGTCCCTCATTTTTTCACCAGCAAAACTTTCCCCCGCCCCCCATTTAACACCACAACACTCCCCTGGCACTCATTTTTAACAAAAAAAGCAACACTCCCCGGCCCTCATGCAAACCCCAAACAACACTCCCCTGTCCCTCATTCAAAACCAGCAACATCCCCTGGCACTCATTAAAAACCAGCAACACCCCCCCCTGTCCCTCATTCAACCCCCAGCAAAAACTCCCCTGCCCTTTATTCAACAAAGCAACACTCCCCTGGGCCCCCATTCAAAACCAAACAACACTCCCTGGCCCCCATTTTTAAAAACCCGAACACTCCCCCGGGCCCCCATTCAACACCAGAAAAATCCCCTGGCCCCCATTCAACCCAGCAAACACCCCCCTGGGGCCCCCCATTCAACACAAACAACACCCCCCCTGGCCCTCATGCAAAAACCAAACAACACCCCCCCTGGCCCTATTCAACACCGCAAAACTCCCCTGGCCCTCATTTTTAACACCCCGCAAAAAACTCCCCCGGGCCCCCCCCTTCAAAACCGCAACACTCCCCCGGGGGGCCCCATTCAACAAAAAGCAAAAAACTCCCCCCGGGCCCCCAAACAAAAACCAAACAACACTCCCCTTTGGGCCCCCATTCAACACCACAACAATTTCCCCCGGGCCCCCATTCAACACCACAACACTCCCCTGGCCCTCATGGGAACACCAGCAACACTTTCCCCCCCCTCATGCAACCCCCAGCAACACTCCCCCTGGCCCCAAAGCAACACCGGGGAACACTCCCCTGGCCCTCAAGGGGAACACAAGCAAAAATTTTCCCCCGGCCCTCATTTTTAAAACCCCGCAACACTCCCCTGGGGCCCCCATTCAACACCCCAACACTCACCCGGCCCTTATTCACAAAAAGCAACACTCCCCTGGCCCCCATGCAACACCCCGCAACACTCCCCCGGGGGCCCCCATTCAAAAACCAGGGAACACTCACCTGGCCCTTATTCAACACCAAAAAAACTCCCCCTGGCCCCATTCAACACCAGCAAACACTCCCCTTGGGCCCCCTTTCAACACCCCAAACACTCCCCTGGCCCCCATGCAACACCAGCAACACTACCTGGCCCTCATGCAAAACCCCCCAACACCCCCTGGCCCTCATGCAAAAACCCGCAACACTCCCCCGGCCCCCATTTCAACACCCCAAACAACCAAATCCCTGGGCCCCCCCCCTTCCAACAACACCCCAAGGAAAAAAAGCAACACTCCCCCCGGCCCTCATTCAAAACCCGCAACACTTCCCCCGCCCTCCCCGAACACCCGCAAAACTCCCCTGGCCCTCATTCAACACCAGCAACACTCACCTGGCTCTCATGCAACACCAGCAACACACCCCTGGCCCTCATGCAACACCAGCAACACTCTCCTGGCCCTCATGCAACACCAGCAACACTCACCTGGCTCTCATGCAACACCAGCAACACACCCCTGGCCCTCATGCAACACCAGCAACACTCACCTGGCCCTCATTCAACACCGTCTTGAACAACGCCAACACAGAGTCAGGTTGCAATGCACAGGTCTCAACATAACAATGATTCCAGTCCAGTTCGACTCTGGCCTGGACCGTGGCCCTGTTGACGGCCCTCCTGTGTTGCAGGTCGCTCTTGTTACCCACCACCACCACTGGCACTCTGCTACCTCGAAGACGTACGATCTGACGGAGACCTCTTATTGTAACTCCCTTTGATGCGTTATTTGACGTATTTCTTAATAACCCTTTGATGCGTCATTTGTCGTATTTCTTAATAACCCCTTGATGCGTTATCTGACGTATTTTTTAATAACCCCCTTGATGCGTCATCTGATGCATATATCTGCTAATAACCCCTTGATGCGTCATCTGATGTATATATCTGCTAATAACCCCTTGATGCGTCATCTGACGTATTTCTTAATAACCCCTTGATGCGTCATCTGATGTATATATCTGCTAATACCCCCTTGATGCGTCATCTGATGTATATATCTGCTAATAACCCCTTGATGCGTCATCTGACGTATTTCTTAATAACCCCTTGATGCGTCATCTGACGTAGTTCTTAATAACCCCTTGATGCGTCATCTGACGTATTTCTTAATAACCCCTTGATGCGTCATCTGACGTAGTTCTTAATAACTCCTTGATGCGTCATCTGACGTAGTTCTTAATAACCCCTTGATGCGTCATCTGACGTAGTTCTTAATAACCCCTTGATGCGTCATCTGACGTAGTTCTTAATAACCCCTTGATGCGTCATCTGAAGTAGTTCTTAATAACCCCTTGATGCGTCATCTGACGTAGTACTTAATACCTCCTTGATGCGTCATCTGACGTAGTTCTTAATAACCCCTTGATGCGTCAACTGACGTAGTTCTTAATAACCCCTTGATGCGTCATCTGACGTAGTTCTTAATAACCCCTTGATGCGTCATCTGACGTAGTTCTTAATAACCCCTTGATGCGTTATTTGCTCAAGACGCTTAATTACATGCTTTATTATTATTATTATTATTATTATTATTATTATTAATTATTATTATTATTATTATTATTATTATTATTATTATTATTAACAGCACTGACAACCCACATACCACAACCCACCACAACCCACCACAACCCATCCAAACCACCACAACCCATCACAACCCCAACCACAAACCAACCACCACCCCACCACACCCCCAAAACCCCATCACAACCCACTACAACTCACTACAACCCACCACAACCCCAACAACCCATCACAACCCCACCACAACCCACCAGCACCCCATCACAACCCCACCACAACCCACACAAACCCATCACAGCCCACCACAACCCACACAACCCACCACAACCCACCACCCCCCACCACAACCCACCACAACCCATACACAACCCACTACACTCACTAAAAACCCACCCAAACCCACCCCAACCCATCACCAAACCCCCCACAACCACCAGCACCCATCACAACCCACCCAACCCAACACAACCCTCACAGCCCACCCCACAACCCACCACAACCCATCACAACCCACCAACCCAACCCACCACCACCCAACCACAACCCACCACAAACCCACCACCAACCCATCACAGCCACCCAACCCCCCACAACCCCCTCACAACCCAACCACAACCCACCCCCACCCATCACAACCCACCACAACCCACCACAACCCATCACACCCCACCACAAACCCACCACAACCCACACAACCACCACCCCAAACCCACCACAACCCCCCAAAAACCCATCACCACACCCCCCACAACCCACCACCCTCCCCACCCAACCCCCCCACAACCCACCACCACCCATCACAACCCACCACAACCCCACCACAACCCATCACAACCCCCACAACCCACCACAAACCCATCACAACCCACCACAACCCACCACCACCCATCACCCCACCACAACCCAACACAACCCACCACAACCCATCATAACCCACCACAACCCCCCCATAACCCACCACAACCCACCAAAAACCCATCACAACCCACCACAACCCACCAACCACCCATCCCCAACCCACCATAAACCCACCCAACCATACAACCCCCCACAAACCCACCCAACCCATCACAACCCCCCACAACCCACCACAACCCATCACAACCCACCACAACCCATCACAACACCCCTCACAAACCCCACCAAACCCACACAACCCACCACAAACCACCACCACCCACCACAACCCACCCCCACCCATCACAACCCACCACAACCACCACAACCAAACACAACCCACCACAACCCACCACAAACCCCTCACAACCCACCACAACCCACCACCACCCATCACAACCCCCCACAACCCACCACAACCCCCACAACCCCCCACAAACCCATCACAACCCCCACAAACCCACCACCACCCACCACAAACCCACCACCACCCACCACAACCCACCAAAAAACCCACCACAACCATCCCCAACCCACCACAACCCACCACAACCCTCACAACCCCCACAACCCACCACCACCCACACAACCCACCACAACCCACCACAACCCACCACAACCCAAAAACCCCACCACAACCCACCACCACCCATCCAACCCACACAACCCACCACACCCCCACAAACCCTCCCCACCACCCACCACAAACCACCAAACCCCACACCCCCCAACAACCACCCACCAACCCCCCACAACCCACCAAACCACCACAACCTCCCAAAACCCACCATAACCCACCACAACCCACCACCCCCAAACCCACCACAACCCCCACAAACCAAAACCACCCACCCCCCAAAACCCACCCCCAACCCACCACAACCCACCCAAGCCCGCCACAACCCACCACAACCCACCACAACCACCAAACCCACCAAACCCACCAAACCTACCACAACCCACCACAACCCACCACAACCCACCACAACCCACCACAACCCATCAAAACCCCACCAAAACCCCACCACAACCCACCACAACCCACCACAACCCACCACAACCCACCACAACCCACCACAACCCACCTCCTCTCTCAAGGTAGACAGCAGCTCCCACGAAGCTACACTATCAATAGTGTAAACTAAGAGGAAAGCGTCTGAGTGTCTAATAGCAAGCTCTCTCATAGCAGGAAACTGGTGTGACCCCGACGTGTCCAGCAGGTCCAGGATCAACATCTCTCCCTCGTTCTCGTACTCTCCTCTGTGTAGTTCCTCGATGGTGGGTGTGTAGCTGGTCAGGAT